TAATTGTAAGGTTTGAGGAATCCAGCCTCGTACTTTGCATTGATCACTTCGGTCAGTCGATCTTCCAATTTGCCATCAGATGGATCCGCTGCCGTCAAGAAGAATTTTTCGGTGGTGTTGACAGTTTGTGTGCTGGGAGAAGAATTACTGTTGTTCGAGTGCTGTTGATTGTTTCCATACATTAAAGAGCCATCGCCACCCAAAGAATCCAGGAAATCACTTTTAAATCAAAATGATGTCAGGGACAAATGATCTGTCGATTCATCATCCACCAGATATTCTTACCTGATCACCGATATTTCGTTTCCCATGTGTTCACTAGCAAAAGTGAGTTGACCTGTTCCCATTTGCCCAAAGAATTGTAAAGGAAGCCCATTAAGATTGCTATTGGACCCCAAGGCTACAATATAAATAGTAAGTTCTTTTATTTTCCCTACTTGAATACTTGACTCTTACCTCCGGTTTGTGACATACCCGTGGGTAGACCAAATTTATTGCCGCTTAAATTGCTGTTGTTGTTGTTGTTTGGTGCCTTCGCTTTGCTTTGTTTAGCCTGGTTGTTGTTGTTGTTGTTGTTCTGTCCATTGTTTGCAACCTTCGGTTCATCATGACACAAGTGGCCTATACTTCGCTTGATACAGCGTTGACAAGGGCGACCTATATGGACAAAGTAAAGATGTCAAAGTTTAATCCAGTTATCTAGAAACAAACAAAGTCAAAGTTTTTTTTTTTTTTTTTTTTTACCATCGTCACAAGTCATGTGAGAGCGTCGACAATAGACACAGGCTGGATAACAAAGATAAGAGTCATATTAGTATGCTGTTTGGGAATCTTGTTCAATTATATTTACCATGAGATACTTTTCGCCTTTTAGGACCAGTTCGTTTCTTTTTAAGGTCAGAGTCGTTTTGGGAAGTATCATTATTGTTGGTGTTATTGTTGGTATTCTTTGTAACGGTAGGAGAAGCGCTGGAGGATTGATTATCAGGCTGATTGTTGTTAACGTTGTTGTTGTTATTTCCCATAGGTCCAAGATTTTCACGTATGTATACGCAATTAGAAGAATAAGACAGGCGAATAAATAAAATACGATAACAAGGAGAAACGGATAACAAAAAGAAAGAAAAAGAAAATCCAAGATTGTATTTTATCAAAGTATTCATGATTGGTTTGCTCTTACATTTAAGCGCCGCTTTACATTTGGTACCTGACAAAGGGGAAATTAAACTATCGGGGATATATGATACTACTTTGAGAGGTTGAATTCAATAACAAAATAGACTTTGGAATCATCCCTTTGTTTACAAATATATCGTAAAGGCTATCAAATCAAATGGAACAATCATAATGGTTAGCATAGTGTGTGTAGCTGCTGGTCGCGCCGTTTGTCCTTGCATAAAGAAAGGAAAGAAAAAAAAAAAAAAAAAAAAAAAAAAAACTTACTTGTCCTTGATAGTACTTTAATGCATCAATACTAAAACCTGGTATTTGTATGGTTCCATTCTACAAGAAATCATGAGAATATGAAACACATTGTATTTACGGATGACTTGTTCTTACCATCATATCCATATACCCGTTATTGAAATCACCTATCCAGATCTGATCAGGCAAGACTTTGGCTTTTCGTCGATTCTCCGCACTGGTGAAATATTGCTGTCTTTGCTTGGATGACAAGGGTTTGTTGGACTCGGGTAACCACATGGTCGTGTTTTCTTCGATTGGCTCATTGATCTCGGTCGAGGGTTCACATGTCGCACGCATAACATCATAAGGAGTAACAGACAAAGTATTTAAAGTGACCACCAAAGGACTGTAGGCATAAGGCCGCTTGTCTTGAAGGTGTAGATCCAATCCGGGGTCCCACCATTGAGCGAACTTTGTGAGCATGGAAAATCCCATCGGTAATTTTAAAGGAGATTCAAATTGATTGCCGAAAATAATGTCATCAGCTGTCGTTTCATCCAAATCGTTTTGACCAAGGAACTGGCCATGAAAATGGATACAGAACGTATCATTGGTCTGGTCAAAGTAGGCTGGGCTGTTCAGCCCTTTGATGCGAATATCAATGGTGCCTTTAAAGTAAGGACCATCAATACGAACGGGTTCAAAGGATGATAAGCTTTCTAATGTATCAATACTTGTTCCTACACGGATCTTAAGATCTAACATGTCAGGGGAGGAGAAATAGGAGAAGGCTAAAGGAGAAGGAAGTTGATCCACCGAGGTAAAAGGAAACATTTTAATCACTCTGCAAAAATGCAATCGGCGCTTGAATTTTATATCCGACCTAATCGCTTTCTTTTTTTCTTTTCACTCGATTACCATCATGCTACTTGTCATTTATTTACCCAAAAATGTTTCAGTAACATATGATTATATGACCTGTATCTACAAAGAGTGATGAATTCAGAAAGATTTAGGAACTATCATTTGGAAAGTGTGGTTTGCTTAAAGAGCCGCCGGTGTGATCGGGATTTAAAAGTATTGTATTTTTTGGGGGCTTCCAAAATTACCTGGGCACCTTTTCCTCTTCTCATTCTTTTTTTGTTTTATTAGACAAAGCGACTCTCCTTTTTTTACCAGTATATATCCTTGTTTAATCTTCCTTGTCCACTACCCTTCTTTATCCTCTTAAAACGACAATATGGGCAATCCTGACGAATGGCTAGAAACTGTACGCAAATGCGAATACCTACCAGAAAAAGATATACAAAAACTGTGTGAAATGGTAAATAACAATCTCATCCCCTCTGTGGTTATGACCAACTTAACTTTACCTAATGTATTGAACAAAATAGGTTAAAGAACTACTCATGGAAGAATCCAACATTCAACCGGTGCAATCTCCTGTTACAGTCTGTGGTGATATTCATGGTAAACTCAAACAAATTGAAATGGGTATAAAAGAACGATAACAGGGTCGATAACAGATATTAGGGGAATGAAGGCCGAAAAACTTGGATGATGATGATGTTGATGATGATAATGATAATGGAACTAACGTTTTTCTTTTTTGCCTTATCTTTACATCTTTTGTAGGTCAGTTTTACGATCTCTTGGAACTGTTTCGCGTTGGAGGTGATGTGCAGGACACGAATTACATCTTTATGGTATGTAAATAGAACAACAAGTAAAACGACATTGGAAACGATTGACACTCATAGTATTTACGACACTGTATATGATATAGGGAGATTTTGTCGACCGTGGTTACTTTAGTTTGGAAACTTTTACACTACTAATGGCATTGAAAGCAAGGTAAGTCAAAAGAACACAAATGAATATGATACTCACTCAAACTCTCTTTTTATGCACATATAGATATCCTCATAAAATCACACTCCTACGAGGCAACCACGAAAGCAGACAAATCACCCAAGTGTATGGCTTCTACGGTAAGGAATGACACAGGAATTGGAATAGGGATATATACATGCATTGGATGAATGCGATGTATCTCACTTTTTTTTCTTTATGATCTCTGTTGTAATAGATGAATGTCAAGCCAAGTATGGAAATGCGAATGTTTGGAAATACTGCTGCTCTGTATTTGACTATCTGACTTTGGCAGCGGTAATGAAACGAATTGAATGGATTGGAATGAAAAGATGACTATGCTTACTCATCCTTTCTTCTTCTTTTTTTTTTTTTTTTTTCTTCTCTCTCTCTCTTAATAATACATAGATTATTGATGGATCAATACTCTGTGTCCATGGCGGATTATCACCTGATATTAAGGCATTGGATCAAATTCGGACAATTCATCGACTACAAGAAATTCCTCATGATGGCTCCTTTTGTGATTTGATGTGGTCAGATCCTGATGAAATCGATTCATGGGCAGTTAGTCCAAGAGGTGCTGGATGGCTATTTGGCGGAAAAGTAACAAGTGAAGTAAGTACATGAAAAAAAGGTGGAGGGCTGTATGACATTGACTTTATAGATACTGATCATAGGAATGCTCTTTTCTTTTATGTACACACAATCATATAGTTTAATCACATCAACAAGCTCTCGTTAATTGCACGGGCGCATCAATTGGTACAAGAAGGATACAAGTATATGTTTGAAGACGATGCTTTGGTGACGGTATGGTCGGCACCCAACTACTGTTATCGATGTGGTAATGTGGCATCTATCTTGGAAGTGCAAAATGGTGACTCGGTACAAGGACGCAACTTTAAAATCTTCGATGCTGTACCTGATCAGGATCGATTCACGCCTTACTCGGCAGGTCGTGGCGGCGTTGGTATGAATTCGAAGCTCGGTGGTGGTGCATCTGGCGGCCAATACTTTGTCTAGTCGCTTTTATCCACTAGTTAAACTTCCTACCTACTCCTCCTCTTCTGCTATTACTCCTCCCTTCCATCATAAAACAACATTCTTATTATGCTACTACTTGGCATCATTCACATTGGATTAGATAGTCAACCCTTCTCCTTTTTCCTCTTTACCTACTATACACGTACACACATACACTCACTCATTTATATATATTACTTTGTTTTACTTCCTACGTTTTGATATAGTTTATGATGATCTCATTTTTATATACATATATATACTTGACCCCCTTCCCCTTAGTACTATTATTTATTATCTGTGTATTGTATATTCTTCTTCTTCTTCCTCTTACCATGATATTGATTCCTATCTTAATAAAAAACCCTTGCTTTTTTTTTTCGTATGGCGGCATTTGAAATATTTCCCCGATTGGGTAATTTGATCTTTTTGCCATCTCTTCCTCTAAAATACATTAATGAAATATAATATCAAGATGTGTCACATTATCAATGCAAAACTTGATAATATCAACAACCAATGGCAGCATTATCAGGGCAACATGTAATAATATCAACAGCCAGTAAGACTGATGGAGATTGGCCAAAGCACGCAGGCAAAAATCACCAGCCAATCAAAAGAGCTTATTGAAACATCACGTGATTTTTTTAAAAATGTGCTTTATATAGTACATTTAAATTTTTTTGACATCAAGAGCCGTGATGGCGTAATGGCTATCGCATCGGATTGCAGATCCGCAGGTTCCCGGTTCGAATCCGGGTCGCGGCTTTATTTTTTTGGCCTTCTTGGCGGGGATTGAATTTCGATTTCCTGTTTTGGTGATTGCACTCATGAGTTTGTAGATGACAATTATTCTTTTTACATGTTGTTACGGCTAAACTTGAGTTTGTAAAAGTAAGTTTTGTTTTGTAAAAGAGCAGTGAGTATCAGAATCTTTTTGGTAAGATTCATCCTTTAGTTCTACTTGGTAATTTAAGAGGAAAAGAAAAAAATCGACCGAGGTAAGTCAAGATTTGAAAATAAAATAAAAAGGGGCTCTTGATCCAACAGTAAGAGCAAATAGAGACAGAAATTAAGCTTGTAACTTGATAATAAAAGAGGTAACTTGTAAATAAGACCTTTTGTATTTTGTACTGAAGTTTATTATTTAAAGAGAAACCGTGATAAAAACTGAAAAATTTAAAAAGGATGTGGAGAGGATGATGGCTATTTATACTAAATTCACATCCTGGTTAAAAGAAAAAAAAGAGAATGTATTCATCGAAAGTAATCGGTGATTGTCTTTAAAAAATACCGGAATTTCGCGTATTGGTGTCCGCTTGCGCCCAGACAGCTATTTCCTCAAGATTGAATATATTTTCCCAAGACATTTCCGGAAAATCCATTTCCGTAACAATGTTGTTATGGTTACTTTTCAAGTAACTGTATTTTTTTGTATGTTATAATAGGTGCTTGCGTGAGTTTGTAGTGATGATTAGTTTTTTTTTGTTCGAAAGAGAAACCACTCCGGATTAGAAAAGCAGAACTTGCATAAATCTTTTATGCATTTGAGCTATAAAAGATGACAGGCAAAGCTAACGAAATAAAATGTGAATCAATTTGAGAATAGTCAAGTCAAGAAAAAAGCACAAAGATAGACTGTGGCAAAGGTAGATGGTTAGATTAATACAAAAGTCATCAAATAACGTTTGATAAGGGCAAGAAATGAGAGTAAGGCCAAAAAAAAAAAAAAAAAAAAGTCGACAGCCCAATTCTAGGTAGGGTGAAAGTATCTGTACCCATTTTATTCATGCAACCTGCTATCAAGGTTGTAAATAACCACAACTATCTTTTTATGCTATTTGTTCAAAGAACTTGCCCACCTGAAATTAAACTCACGTTATTATATGCAGATGGGTATTTTCTAATCCCACCGCAACACCACATTAAAACAATACACACAAATACACCCCAATAAAAGATATCTGCAAAAAAAGTAAGACGAAGATAGTTTTATTTTTTAAAGACGGAAGGAAAGTTCGTTTTTAAATCCCGCAGGTCTCCACTCACACTTAAAGAAAGGCACTACTCGCTCAATTGTTAACGGATGCTAATGATTAAAGTGGTGACATGAATACTATGGTATATTTCCAACATACTTCACTGCAAAAGTTAAGCACCGAGACCCTTGTGTCAGTAAGTCCAAGCTTGCAATGACTTTTACCTGTCATTTACGAAGATTCTTTTATTTTTTACAGACGGAAGCAGATTTCATTTACAAACCCCGCTGGCCCCTCACTCATAATTAGGAAAGGCACTGCTCGCTGAATTGTTAACAGATGCTAATGATTAAAGTGGTGATATGGATACTATGGTATATTTCCAACATACTTCACTGCAAAAGTTAAGCACCAAGATCCTTGTGTCAGTAAGTCCAAGCTTGCAATGACTTTTACCTGTCGTCTACAAAAAAAAAAAGCGGGACGAAAAGATTCATTTTTTTTTTTTACAGACGGAAGCAGATTTCGGTTTCAATCCCGCCGGTCTTTGATTCCCTAAAGCACAGACAAATCAATAAAAAAAGAGTGAGAAGATGGATTAAACCTTTATTTCGACTACAACATCATATTGATAAAGAAGCAAATAAAACTAATTAACTAGATGGATAGGGAGACTATAAGTATCTAGTTTAGGCTTCCCAAGAAGAAGGACCGGCAGCAGCAGCATCATCGGCCCAGTCAGAAGAAGCAGTTTGAGCGTTCCAGTCAGCAGCAGCGGCAATACCAGCAACACCTTCAGCAGCGGAACCTTCAACACCCCATTCAGGAGTGGTGAGTTCGGCGTTGTATTCACCATTGTCCTCACCGAAAGCAAGGGCTTCTTGATCCTTTTGTTCTTCTTCAGGATCACGGAAGAAGAACATATCGACCATGACGTCCCAAGCTTGAGCATAGTCGAGAGAGCCACGGAGACGGAGGACGGCACGGGCCAACAACCAGTAGATCAAACCGAGAGCATGCTTACCCTTGTTGTTGGTGGGAATGACGACATCAACGTATTGCAAGAGAGAGTCGGTATCGGCCAAAGAGATGACAGGGATGTTGACATAGGAGGCTTCCTTGATGGCTTGGAAATCGGTACGAGGGTCAGTGCAGATCACCAAACGGGGTTCACGGAAGGAGCGGGTGATGTAATTGGTGAAGGTACCAGGAGTGAATCGACCGACGATGGCTTCGGCACCAATGTACTTGGCAAACTTCAAGGCAGCACGGTGACCGTAAGGACGAGCAGAGATCACGACGATATCCTTGGGGTTTTCAATAGCAGCAATCACACGAGCGGCGAAAATGAGCTTTTCCCAGGTCTTACCGAGGTTGATCAAGTTGACACCTATGAGATTCCAAGCATATTAGTTCATTATCCTTCCCTTCTTTTTTTTTCCCTGCTATTACTTACCGTCAGCACGACGCTTGTAGACGTAAGGAGTCATACGGGTGTTGACATTCTTGGCACCAATATGGCATTGAGCGCTCAACAAGAGTTGTAAGTCTTCTTCAGTAATGTTAAGGACTATAAATACAAAGAGATCAAAGCAATGATTATGAGCAAAGTGTTGTTTGGATCAAGGTGTGATATAAAGATAAAGTTGGTGTTTATTGATGATTTCATTCGATACGTACCGGAAGGAACACGGGACATGTTGTTCTAAAGAATCATATACAAAAAAAAAAAAAAGTTAGTACGTCAATAATCATCCATCCAGTCATGTATCCATCCATCCATCCAGTTATATCCAAACTATCCATAGTCATGGATGTGATCGTCAACCATTCTGTTTAGGATGGACTTTGTCGTTTTTGGTACATACAATTTGAGCTTGAAAAGAGAAAGAACAATCGGTTTTTTGCGCAATGGTGATTTTGTTCCGTTCGAATCTGGAATTCAAATCCCGAGATAAAACGCGGGGAATAAAAAAAGGGACCAGTGAGATGAAGGGTGTATCATGAGTTGATGATGACCGCGCTAAACACTACATCCGTCATATAAAAAAAATATAATGAGGACACTTTATTCAAATAGAGAATGCAAATGCATGAAAGTTTCAAAGTGAGGATGGGGATTTAGATGGAGTAAGTATTCGAAGCGGGATTTGAATTCAACATCTTAAATTTTTTTTAGGTCTTCACTTTTTTTTTTTTTCCCGCCTCCCTCCCTCTCTTTTCCCCTTCTTCCTTCTTTGCAAAAAAAAAAAAAGATAAAGAAAAGATGGCTGCCGCTTCTGCCTCACAATCAGCTCTTACCAGGTTCATCAACTCACCTGCTGGACCCAAAACCATTCATTTCTGGGCACCTGCCATGAAATGGGTAAGTATAAATAGGAAAACCATCAACTTTACTAGTCAGGTTGACTCACCTTGTTTTTTATTATTAATAGGCTCTCGTAATTGCTGGTATCGGTGATCTTGCTCGTCCTGCTGAAAACTTGAGTTTGGCTCAAAATGGATGTAAGTATTATACTTTATAAAAAAAAGTCAAGACTTGGTATTAATCTTTTTTTGGTTGGCTACTAGCTTTGGTTGCCACTGGTTTAATTTGGACTCGCTACTCTACTGTGATTATTCCCAAGAACTGGCCCTTGTTTGCTGTTAATGTGTTTGTTGCCGGTACTGGTCTTATGCAAGTTGGTCGTATTATGAAGTAAGTGTCAGGGGATGGGGGATACTAGGAATGACTAACTTGTTTTTTATTATTATCTTCTAGTTATCGTATGTCAGATGAATACAAGAAGAAACAAGAAGAAAATGCTGCTGTATCCGCTTAGATTCAGTGGATAGACAATCCTTTCCCTCCTCTCCTCTTTACACATGTCCTTCCATACCACTACAATATTTGACAACCTTGCTTATTGCTTTTTATTCAATAAATAAAAATATCATCTCCTTGTAAACTAATCATGTCTTTGTCTTATTAATAACAACTGTTTATAACATGTCTCATTGTCTTTATCATACCCCTTTTGTGGTGGAGGCCAGAAATTTGGTGCGGTCGTCGGAATTTGAAAATTAGGAGTATGTAAATCGATTTTTTTTTTTCCAACACAAACTTCTTTTTCTTTCACAATAAAAACAGATTTGGGACATTATGAGTTCTGGTATTGCACGTGGACGTCTGATGGAAGAACGCAAACAATGGCGTAAAGATCATCCTCATGTAAGTACTATACTACTAGAACAACAACTAACACTACTAACTTGACTAATGCTTTTATCAATCAACATTTTGTATGTGTATGACACCTATAGGGCTTTTGGGCCAGGCCGGAAAAGAATCCAGACGGTACTTTGAATCTAATGGTTTGGAATTGTGGTATTCCTGGAAAAGAAAAGGTAAAAAGAAAAGAGAACAAGACTAATCTTTATGACGCTCACACTTTTTCAATAGACTCCTTGGGAAAATGCTGTGTATAAACTGGCGATAATGTTTCCTGAAGGTAAGTCTCACCCACTCCCCCCAAAAAAAAGAAGACAGTGGTGGTAATAATATTAATACTCATGATATGTCTTGTCTATTTTATAGATTATCCTAGTAAACCACCCAAATGTAAAGAAAGAAAAACAAAGAAAAGGTAAAAATTGACGGATACTGACGACTTTATAATTGTGCATACAGGTAAATTCGTACCACCACTCTTTCATCCTAACGTATATCCATCTGGAACAGTCTGTTTGTCCATTCTGAATGAAGAAGAAGGCTGGAAACCCGCGATTACTTTGAAACAGGTAATGAAT